AAATACAACAACAACAAAAAAACCCCAATTCACGACCTTTACCTAAATGAACATTTCCACATCTTTCAGCTATGATCTTGAGATTTACATCCAGATGAACACTTTCAATCTATGGGCCAAAACCTGACCAGTGCAGAAAGCTCTGCTTTGTGTGCCCGCACCTTCAGCCTGTTGAGTGGCCTCAACAAAGAGCAGCTACGAGGAGCAAGGGCTATAACTATCCCTATCCCAATATTTTAAAATTGAACACCAAGCTGGGCATCTAAGAAAATCACACAAATAATGAGAATGAAATTGTTGGTAGCTGCCAGCACTGTTTTAACGGGCCATGCCAGAACAAATACTGGCTTGGTTTTATTCCACAGGATGAACAAAAATAAATGTTGCCAAGCATGCTGAAAATGAAAAACTTAAAATGCTAAGTATGAGGATTATGTTAATGATTACTACAAAAAAATTTAACATTTTCATAAGTTTATCTGCTGCATAGCACAAACTCTGCCTGAGCAAATTTGCTCCCCAGAAGATTTCACCTTTGAAAATAAAAGAGGTCAAGGAAGAGAAGAACAATAAAGTAAAAGGGAAAAGCTGCAAATTTGGAAGCAAAAGGGTTAACATGTTTTGTTTCAGTCGCTATTATACCAATGCCAGAATTACAAGGGAAAGACTAAAAAGAGCCAATTTTTTTATTATTATTATTATTCTTTAAAAGGAAAAAAAAAAATCAAGCCTATCTGTCACAGGGTTGTCCGGGCTGGAAGAATCGGCAGGAACCTCAGATTCCTGACCAAACCCTCTTCCACACAATGCCTCCTGAATGGAAGGAACCCAGGCCCGGCAGAGATAGCCCGCTGTCAGGAACCAGCCCTGACGTTTGCGGACAGACGGGGCTGGCCTCGCAGGATGTCAGAGCAGCAAACTGCTGCTCGAGATACTGGGTTTTCACACACTCCCAGCCTGGATGTTTTGCTCTTCAGGTAATTAAACAAGGAAACGGGGCTGATGTGTACGAGTCTGACCCCTGCGCCGCGGCTCCGCAGTTCTGCACATCAACTTCCGCACGAACCGCCTGGAGCATCAACAGAGTCCTCTGCTCCCACTCCCAACACAAGAAGGACTAAATTACTTGCTCTGTTCCACATGCCTTGCCACTTTCTCATAAAAAGAAGGAAAAAAGGAAAGAAATGGGTACTCTCGGGTAGCTGTTCTTCAGCCAGCCATTCAAAATATTAGATATCTGGCTGGGGGATGGGAGGAACAGACAGAAAGATGAGGCAAGGGATTCCCAAATTAATGCTTGCTTTAAGGTCATCACTCAAAATGAAAAAGATCCTGAAAAGTATTTCTGATTCGTCCGACCAACTGCCAAATATTCACTTATTTAGAAATACAATTATTCTGATTTAAGCATTATTGAAGAGTCTTTGTCTTACAAGAGGACATAAATCATAGATCTCGGCATTAATAAAATAGACCAGTATTTTCTCTCTCTCTTTTTCCCTAAATTTAAGAAACAGGGGAAAAGAAGGTGTTACCACCTATCCTCAGTGAAAACCCTACACCGGCTGCTCTATGACTGACCTAGTTTCTACGCTCTTTAAAGGCTATTTAAACAAAAATGATTTTTAAAAAAGGTAACACATTCCCACTCCTTTCTGAAAAATCCACAGAATAGAATATTGGCTGAAAAGAGAAGAGCCCAAAAGAAAGAGGAGTACAAAAGCATGCCTGCTTGTCTGTGTTCAACACAAAGAACATTAAATGAAAACAACTGGCACGCTGCCAAATTCCTATACAGGCAAAGAGATTCAAATAAATTGATTTCACGCATCACACTGACCTGGGATCAGTGAGCAGTGCTACAATACACTCGCTGCTCCATGTGGGGCAAAGCCCATTAACGTTATCAGGAGCCACAGTACATTACCAAGGGGGAAGGGGGGAGAGGGGGAGAAGGAAGAGAACCCAAATTCTACAAACTCAGGGAAAAAAAATGACTTTGAAGAAGAAACTTCAGCTTCAGCTGGAGTGCTTGGTTTCAGTTTACTAATACATGTATCGTATTGTCAGGGCTCGTCCCCTGCTCACCTCAAAGGTTTCGAAGATCGTATTTTCAAATTAAAATAAATACCAATGTCACACACACACTCCCCTTACATTCTACTTCTAACACAGTTGTTCTCAAACTCAGTTATTCTCTGAAAATTTCCTCCCTTCCCCATCCGCCAGCGTTTTATATAGATTATGGGTTATTTTCTTTGTACTTCAAAAGCTGGATTCCTGCCCAGGATACTCTTACTGGCTCAGAAAGTAAGCCGGAGAAATCGGCCACCACTCTCAACTGGTCCAAATCAACCTGACCTACAGAGAAAACCGCCTTGTCTGCAAGGCAGCAATGAGCAGGGCCCCTTTGCAGAGTCACCCAGGCACGCTCCCTCATCACAAAGCATTCTCTCCAAACCAGTGTATTTTGAATTTCACTTTCTTACGACGTGCGAAGTAACCTGTGTGTGCCATGGAGTCTCTTCTTGTCATCCCGGCTTTGTTTTTCATTAAGATCTCTCACACTGCAATCAAGAGCAACGCCAGCAAGCCACAGGTGTGCACCACATGAACAGATGAAAATCTGATTGTGAGCTGTGTGATGACAACTCGCTGTCTATAATACACTCGTCCCCTTTTGCATCTGTTCTATGTTACAAGGGGGGGTTTATTAGATCAATTGTACTCTTTAAGATACATAGGTAAGCAAACAATTGTTTTGAGGATAAAAAAGGAAACCGAGAAAAAGACGACTTTGCAATAGCGAAGATGGATGAGGACGTGCAAAAGAGATCACAAAAGCATAGGCAGGCAGTCTAATGCTGCAAGAGGCCACTGCTTCAAGGAGGCAATAGTCTCAAACATCTTTTATTTTGCCTTTTATTCCATTTTGGTTTCAAACAGTAAGTCAAATCTTGGGCACAGCACAGTCCACATTAAGTTAAGCTGTGAGAGTGTTGGCTCATCTCTAATCACTCATCCAAATTTCCTTGTGGAGCTTCTTGGCCGTTTAAGGCTAAAATTTTTGAACATGTAACAAACTCATATATCCAGTTGTAGGTACCTTACCCAGTCACCTCATCTCAAGTAAGCGTCAAAATGGGAATGCCCAAAGACCTAACAATGGCTAACCACCGCTGATCACTCTCCTTTACAGAGAGCTACAAAGCAGTTTTGGGTTACCTTCATCACCAAGGTGAAAACCATACAATACCATTGACTCTCTTAAGTTGTGTTAATAGAGAGGATGTGTTTTGTTTGGGTATAAGGCTACACTGACAGAACTGCAGGGGAAAGGGAATCACTTAGCACACAGCAACTTCACAGTGGTAGATACGTGCCTGCACCCAGGTGATACAGGCAGCCTGACCTGCCCAACGGTTAACAAGACAGATAATGTGCTGTTCCCTCCCGTTCATGAATATTTCAGCAGTACAACCAGATCATTCGGACTTTATATAACGATGAGGTGAATTTTAGTCGTGTTAATTCCGTCTTCCTACAAAAATGAATAGTATTAGAAAACATGCCTTTCTCCTAAGTTGTAGGAAATTTCCATTATCTTGCACGTGCTCTGACAGCAATAAACCACAATAAGCTTCCCATTAGTATGCCAGCACTGCATGCTTCAGGCATGAAATCTTTACTTTTACATTTATTTGTTTTTTAAATCCTTTATGAAGGCCCACATGGCAAAAGAAACCAACCAACAACCACCTGTACTGGGTACACTTGCACTTTGAACAACAGACTGTAGATAGAAAAAAAGGAGAATTAGTCAGAAGCTATACACTGCTAAATTAGCAAAATAAAAATGCAAGAAGAAACCCTGCTAAGATTATTCATTCTTTTCCAATGCTGCCTGCGTACAGGAAAGTCCCACAGAAGCATTTACTTGTTTTAAACTGAGCTAGGAACTCGGATTAGAATGCAAATTCATTTTTAATAGGATTTAGTTTTTTAAAAAGTACGTTCACACTGGTGCACAAAACCTCAGCCCCGGCCCCTTGCCACGACGCGACGTGCAGAGCCTCCCGCTGGCTCCCTCAGCTGTGGTCCATCTCCTTTCCTCACCCCACAGACAGAGCAGTGGGGGCCACCGCGTCTCGGGTGGGGAGACGAGGGATAGGATCAAGGCTTAGCTGCCCTTCAAACTAGCCGGAGCATAGCCTAGAGTACTCAGACACTGGTCATTTTATTTTGGTATCATACTCTATCGGAGTCATGCCATAGGAGAAATGGTCCACCACTGAGAAAGAAAGTATCAGGGTGTTGGAAAGCACTTATAATCAGTTCTGTAGTTTCATGCCATCTAGACACACCATTTTAGAAGAAAAAATGTAGTTACAGTAAGGACAAGAATGACAGTCACAGGTTACCTAGAAATTTTGTTCTGCCATAGCAGATGTACTTTTCCAGTAAGGTACAAACCTTTGCACACAAGAAGCAGAAATATCCATTCTCAATATCTTCTCAATCGAATTTATCACAGATTCGCAATGCAATGAGTTTACCAGAGGCTTCCACTAAATTACAAACACAGCCATTTCACCAGCGTGATTACAACTGCCCCTTAGCCTGGTTGCAAATACTGTTCCAATTCACAGTTCAGGAAACTGAACTTTGTTATTTTCCCACAAGTAATATTTACATGCCACATAAAGAGCACTTATGTCATGAAAAATGAAAAAACACAGTTAAAAATTTCACAAATATGTATTTTTAAGCTAAGGAAAATTTTAGAAAAGTCATCACTGATGGATTTTACTGGCATTGCTGTACTCTTTCTCAGTGATATTAAAATGAAGACACCACCTTCATTGATTTAGGCAGACTCTTTGGAGGCTAAAGGGAAAGATTTCTTTTTTAATTACAGTTTACAAGGCAAGGCACAGTCATTAAAAATAACTTCTAAAAGGTATGCACATTACAAAATCAAATATTTTTCTGTTCCTTACCTTGACAAAATTCAAAGTTCCCCTTTTTCCGGCAGTCACCTATCACTAAACTCAGTGCTCTCCAAGTGTTTCTTTTGACAGATATCATTCTCCACCAATCGCTCTGCTAATTTCCTCTTTCCTTTTCGGACTGGGACAGATATTATGTTCACCAGCCCAGAGATCAATCTTTTCTATTGACAACAACAAATGAAAAAAAAAAAAAAAAAAAAAAAAAGAAGAAGCACATATCACAGCCAGTTTGAAGCACCACACCCCTTCATTTGCATGATAATAGCAGTCTTTTAAATAAAAAGGGAAGACAGAAACGCTATCATTCTAAATCAATTACCCACATTTTCTTAGTTAATATAAGGCAGTACTTTAAAACTGTATTAATTCTTCGACAAAGGCTGTTTCATAAGTTGCTCATTTAAAACAGTTGACATATAGAGGGCAACAAACTAAGGGCAGCCTGTGTTCTAACATGAAAACACCTATTAGCTAATTCTGTAAAAATGCTTGGCTTTAAATACATTCATACAATATAAAATATTACATACTTTACCTGGTTCAATAGAAGCTCTAGAGAATCATTTATTAAATGAACACAGTTACTAAAAATAGAGACCTTGCAATTACACATCGCTATACTAATTTGGATTTGTAAGTCATAACAGCAAACACATTTAAACAAAGGAAGATCAAAAAGCTATTGATATATTTACAAATCATCCTCCCACTTTTGAAAAGGCAATTTCCCTCCCACTCCAACACCTACAAAACCTGTTTATTTGGGTTACACAAATACTTTGTCATTCGTATGAGTCTGTATTACAGCGCTGTCAGTTTTTCCAAGACATTAATATGCTTTTCAGGGGTTCGTAATTATGTCAAGGCAGAAAGATTTTTCAGAGCCAGGCAGAGTTACGTACATGCTTCAGTCTGCATCCACTATTCAGGTATTTTGGGACATAAAGTTAAGCATGCATAAGGATCTGGTTGCAGCTGCATGCATCTCAGTGAGACCCCAGCCCCAGCCCTCCCCTGGACTAGACCTTACTGCAAAAAAAAATGTATCGCCCAAGGGCATTTGCAAAAGATCACATTTATGTTTGTGCTAGAAATTGCAATCTTTCCCACAAACAAGCACCCTCCTCAAACGAAAACAAACCTTCCCAAGTTAAAGTTAAGGTTACAGAAAAAAGGAGTTCACCACTCAAAGTCCTTTCTTCCCCGTATTCGTGGTCAGATGTTTCCCCGCAGCCCTGACACAAGCCAAAATTCTATTTATTTCAGTGAAAATGAGAGGCATGTAAGGACTACAGGACTCTCTACCCAAGGATCTGGCAACTGTGAAGCTTTCAATATGACAGAACTGCCTTTGGCAACTGGGAAATAATCTCCAAAATGCGGTTAGGACTCCCCAACTTGGGTGCAATAACTACTTTTCTAAAACGATTTTATTTTGTATGAAATTCTCTAGTTGTCACCATGTTCTTATATAGGCAATAAATTTACCTTTCAGTTGTGCCTTATGATGAATTGTGTATTTTTCAGTTGTCCAGACTTTTGCATAACACTTCACATTTCCATAAATGCATACAACATTCCCTAAATTGTTGTTATTGTTTGATCTGATTTTTATGGCCATAAACTCATGCCCTTACCAAAACTGAAAGATCCTTCCACCTGACCAAGCGGCCCTATTAATTTCACTGAGATCATTTAAACATTAAGTTTTCTAGCAAGTGACGATAGCACAATCTGGTTGAAATATGGACTTACAGTGGAACATTAAATTAACATCATATTTTGGATTCAGAATTACACACAGCAGCCATCTGTAAAGATGTATTCATGTTTTGCTAACCTTTACTAATTTGGCCACTAGAAATAATTATGATCAAATATGTTAAGTTATGTAACATATAACAATTCAATATTTGCGTCTGCTGAATAGCATACTCCTTTTTCATGGCTGGTAAAAGATTTTTAAACTTCTTACTGTAAAAAACAAAAAAAAAGTACCTATCTGTCGTCCACTTTACAATGAAGACATCACTTTAACTTACTACTCTCCCTTTTTTTCAGCTCCATGTTCATTTTCTCTACATGCCACATTTTCCAAAGTGATGGATGCATTCTGCTATACCCATTCTACGCTAATCTCCTTTTTAAAATTTATTTTTGTCTCCTGAATTGTAAACTGCTGCTGTTGTTCGATTGTACACGCAAAATTGTCTCAAGTCTGAACTTCACTGAAAGTAGAATGCCTCAAACAATTTGTAGTCTTACAAGAGTGTTATAAAAAAGGATCAACATGTTGTATTACCATGGAAATTTTGAAAAACATACTTTCCCAAACAAATATTACTTTTTCTCAATGGTATGAAGTAATGAAAACCACATGTGTAAATCTGCGATCCGTGCAGTAGTTCAAGCTGCAGCTAATAGAAAATACAGAGAGTGAACTCTGCCATATAAAGGATTCTTGTTACAGAAATATAATGTGAAAACCAGATGCAGACAGAAAACCTTAATCACAGATGGGAATGTAATCACTGGCATACAGAATACTTTTTTGATCAATCTCAGCCATATGAGAAATGTATTTGTTTTCTAAGGAATGCAATAACTCGAGAGAGTCTTCTATTTGAATTCAGTTAACCTCATATTCACAGTGCTTTTATCTTATATGTGGAGGGAGGGAAGGGGGATATACCCTGAGCCAAGATTTTTAGAAGAGCCATTGGCCCTGGCAAATCATTCTTGTATCAGCTTATCTTTCCAGGAATTAGTAGGATGTAAAGACTACAAATATCAGGATCAGCCTCTGAAGAAATCAACCGTTATTGCACTTCTTAGTTACTGCCAGAAAACCCTTCATCACCTAAGCACTTCTCTGGTTAATTTTTTCCCTTAATATGTGGTTCTTCAGAAATACAGTGCTTAAGAGCACACTGTCGCACTGAAGTTCCGCAAAGGAGAACTGGAGTCCTACACCAAAGAATCTCCCTACTCCTTTATAAAAGCTGAAGAGACCATCAGCTCAAAATTAAGTTCACTTTGGGCTTCCTTCTAACTGCTGGAAGTCCTAGTGAATGCCCTCCACCCACACAGCTCGTGGGTGTCAGCGGGGAAAAAAAGGATGGCAGCAAACTGCAGCTACCCAGTTACATCCAGCGGCTAAAAGGCAGACTGCCAACTACCCAGACCAAGGCAGGACCAAGATAACCTCCTGCCAGTTTTCATTGCTGGTGACCTTTCTGCTCAACTTTTAAGAGGCAGAAATACTACAGTAGTAGTAAACCCCTCACATAAAATACAGAAATTGCCATTAAAATCTGAAAATCAGGTTCAGAATTCAGATCATCAATACGCTACCAGCAGGACCTACCTATGCTGTTACAAAGGCTTGGCATCTTCAAGCAACCACACTCCTACAGTTCGGCAGCCAATTCATGCAACAGTTATATTTGCCCAGAGAAATTTTACACTGGTGACTGAACTGGACTGTTACGTTAAACTGCAATATAAAAAAAAAAAGCTTATGCTAGGAAATAAAACTTAAGAAAGAAAAAGTATTCAGATCTTTTCAGATTCAGATGACAGCTCTCCAGGCTCTTGGGCACCAGAAGCGGCAGAGTTTACCTCCTGGCAGTCCCTGATCCCTGATGCACCCCACTCCCGGAGGTACCCACTCTACCCAAGGATATCGCAGCTCTTGACACAGCACGGGCTGACTGTCGCAGTTTTCAGCTTTTTAAGGTAACCCAAAGCTGGGTTTGAACTTTCAACCCAAAGTTGATTTATTTTAATAGCACTAAATAACATAAACCACACTGACTTGGTAGCTGTTACACCAGAGGGGAGAGGGAGTGACAAAAGCCTTTGATGGGCATAGGGCAGGCAGATTCTCCCTCCCTCTTAAGACCCTTTACGTTCCACTACCATCATCCCATGTATCTTACCCCGGGTATCTGGGGTAAGAGGACACAGTCTCTTCAGCACCCTGTCACAGGACTCCCAGCAATGGCTCATCACAGCTGTTCATCGGACCAATTCTGCTGAAGTTCCTATAAATGTGCTTCCTTAATTGAATGCCTGTCTGCTAGGTGAAATTTGTAGTCAACTACTTGCTTCTTCCCTCCTGTGTTAACAACTAGCAAACCATCTGATGAAAATACCTTGATTCCACCACTGCAACAGAAGTTTTTTAAACCATCTCGTCTCTTCCACCATCTAACTTCACGTTTCTGAGACTGCGGCATCGATAAGAAGGCAAAATTTAACGCCGAAGTAATATCGGCTGGATATGCTTGGCTTAGTTCTAAACAAGCATGCCTAGATGAATAATAAACTGTGGCCATATATATATTTTAATTTGCATGTTTTTCATATAGCTTCATCATCATGTGTGTAGAGTGCTAAAAATGGAGTGAAATCTTCCAGCTGTAAAACAGTTCCACGTGAAAAAACAGAGAGAGATCCTGAAAACTCCTGCTTCGTGTCATGTGTGAGTGTGTGTGCCTGTGTCTTTTTTTCCTCTCATCTAATTTCATCTGCGAGAGACTATCCCTAGAGGAGAAGAGAAGAGAGAACCAATTATATCCAGAGGTTGGTTTCTCCAAAATGAAGGCATCTGTTCCATGCCAACGACTTCCACATGGAAGAAAAACAGAACTTTGAAGGCATCTGCATTCACGGTTGACAGTCGCAGATCTTAGGGTCTACTGTAATTGCCCAGCTGCAAACATGATTTGGTTGCTGCTGTTGTCAGCTGATCGCCTTGCACTGAAAAGAAGGGAACTTAAATAGCAAATAGCTGGATAAAAATCAGATATTCTTACAGAATGCTGACACCTTTTCCCTTCTGAAGGAGGTATTTTTCCTGGTACAACGGATTTGATGGAAGTAAATTGCCAAGTGGTTCTTAAACGAACATTTTACAAAATATTCTCCTTTAAAATGCTATTCTTTAAATAACGTACAAGTCCAAGCACAATGTGCTCATTATTTGTTAGTATTTCAGGCTGTTATTTTCTAAGAATGATTCAGAAACCAGTATGATTCACCAGCCACATAATCCTGCTGCCCACCTTATTT